CCTTCCTTCCTTCCTTCCTTTTCTTCCTTCCTTCCTTCCTTTTCTTCCTTCCTTCCTTCCTTTTCTTCTTCCTTCCTTTCTTTTCCTTCCTTCCTTCCTTCCTTCCTTCCTTCCTTCCTTTTCTTCCTTCCTTCCTTCCTTCCTTCCTTCCTTCCTACCTTTCTTTTCTTCCTTTCTTTTCTTCCTTTCTTCCTTTCTTTTCTTCCTTCCTTCCTTTCTTTTCTTCCTTCCTTCCTTTCTTTTCTTCCTTCCTTCCTTCCTTTCTTTTCTTCCTTCCTTTCTTTTCTTCCTTCCTTCCTTTCCTTCCTTCCTTCCTTCCTTTCTTTTCTTCCTTCCTTCCTTTCTTTTCTTTTCTTCCTTCCTTCCTTTCTTTTCTTTTCTTCCTTTCCTTTCCTTTCCTTTTTTCCTTCCTTTCTTCCTTCCTTCCTTTCTTCCTTCCTTTCTTCCTTCCTTCCTTCCTTTCCTTTCTTTTCTTCCTTCCTTTCCTTTCTTCCTTCCTTTCCTTTCCTTTCTTCCTTCCTTTCCTTTCTTCCTTCCTTTCCTTTCTTCCTTCCTTTCCTTTCTTCCTTCCTTTCCTTTCTTTCTTCCTTCCTTTCCTTTCTTCCTTCCTTTCCTTTCTTTTCTTCCTTCCTTTCCTTTCTTTTCTTCCTTCCTTTCCTTTCTTTTCTTCCTTCCTTCCTTTCTTTTTCTTCCTTCCTTCCTTCCTTTCTTTCTTTTCTTCCTTCCTTCCTTCCTTTCTTTTCCTTCCTTCCTTCCTTCCTTTCTTTTCTTTTCTTCCTTCCTTCCTTTCTTTTCTTTTCTTCCTTCCTTCCTTTCTTTTCTTTTCTTCCTTTCCCTTCCTTTCTTCCTTCCTTTCTTCCTTCCTTTCTTCCTTCCTTTCTTCCTTCCTTCCTTCCTTTCCTTTCTTTTCTTTTCTTCCTTCCTTTCCTTTCTTCCTTCCTTTCCTTTCTTTTCTTCCTTCCTTTCCTTTCTTCCTTCCTTTCCTTTCTTTTCTTCCTTCCTTTCCTTTCTTTTCTTCCTTCCTTTCCTTTCTTCCTTCCTTTCCTTTCTTTTCTTCCTTCCTTTCCTTTCTTCCTTCCTTTCCTTTCTTTTCTTCCTTCCTTTCCTTTCTTTTCTTCCTTCCTTTCCTTTCTTTTCTTCCTTCCTTTCCTTTCTTCCTTCCTTTCCTTTCTTTTCTTCCTTCCTTTCCTTTCTTCCTTCCCTTCCTTTCCTTTCTTCCTTCCTTTCCTTTCTTTTCTTCCTTCCTTTCCTTTCTTTTCTTCCTTCCTTTCCTTTCTTTTCTTCCTTCCTTTCCTTTCTTTTCTTCCTTCCTTTCCTTTCTTTTCTTCCTTCCTTTCCTTTCTTCCTTCCTTTCCTTTCTTTTCTTCCTTCCTTTCCTTTCTTTTCTTCCTTCCTTTCCTTTCTTCCTTCCTTTTCCTTTCTTTTCTTCCTTCCTTTCCTTTCTTTTCTTTCTTCCTTCCTTCCTTTCCTTTCTTTTCTTCCTTCCTTTCTTTTCTTCCTTCCTTTTTTTTTTTTTCCCCCCCCATATCTCTCCATAAAGAGGACCTGTCACTACTTATTTCTATCACAAGGGGGATGCATTCCTTGTAATAGGAATAAAAGTGTATAAAAAAAAAAAAGTTTAAAGTGCTGCTGTTCCGTGGCTACCCCCAGCGTGCTCTCAGGTATTAATAAAATATAAAGAGCAAGTCATGACTTGTAAAGATAAATTATTATTAGAGAAGAGTCAACTTTGTTTTATCTTTACAAGTCATGAGTTGCTCTTTGTATTTATTAGTACATGAGCGCACACTGAGGGGAGTCACATTTTGTAGACCTGCCTGCAGCACCAGGATGGGCAAATAGACTACAAAAAAAAAATAAAACCACTGGTCTATAGAGATGCGAGTCGACCCTCAATATCGGGTATTAACAAAACTATCGTACAAAAAAAAACAAACAAAAAAACACATTATAGTAGAATAAAATTTATCAGTGTATTTAATCTTTCCAAGTCCGGGGTGTCTCTTTATATCTGATATTGATACATAAGGGCACTCTGAGGATGCAGCCCCCCCTTCTATAGACCGCCATCTTTTCTTGGTCTGTTTTATGTAGTTTGCCCATCCTGGTGCTACAAGCCGGCCTATGGAAATGGGCCGCTACCCTCGGGGTGCCCTTATGTATCAATATCCCATATAAAGAGGAAGCCACGACTTGGAAAGGTGAAATAACACACTTTATTATACCTTTTTGTTTTTGTTTTTTTAGCAGGTTAAAGCAACCTGTATCTGATATTAATCTATGAAAGCATTCTGATGGTAGAGACAGGTTTGTTTGCTTCGTTGGTGCTTTTTTTTATTTTTTATTTAATTTTTTTAAGTTGTTTTTTGTGTTTTGGTTTCTTTTTTTTTTTTGGTTTTGTTTTTCTGGTTGTCTCTTTCTGGTTGTCCTGTGTGTGTGGTTTTGTTTTTTTTTGTTTTTTTTTTTTGGTTTTGTTTTTTTTTTTTTTTTTTTTTTTTCTCCTCCATTGAGACTTCATGAGCTCCCCTATTTTTCCATACTGAGTTCTCAAAACTCTGATTTTTTTCCATTTTTCCAATGTGTAACCGCGTCATGTTTTGTCGCTGCATTGCACAGATCTCGCTCCAACATACATTCTGGTGCTACAAGTTCTATAATCCTCTCCCTGCCTCCCCCTCCAGCATTCTATGTACTCCCCCCGATCCTCCGTTTTTATTCACGAAGGAAATCATTTTACCTTCACTTTTTTTATAATCTTTTTAAAGTGAAGCACACTTCATTTTAAAAGATTAAAAAGTCGGGAAGGGGCCCGGGGCAGCGGAGTCGGGTAAGGAAGAGGCAGGGAAGGGGCCCGGGGCAGCGGAGTCGGGTAAGGAAGGGGCAGGGAAGGGGCCCGGGGCAGCGGAGTCGGGTAAGGAAGGGGCAGGGAAGGGGCTTGGGGCAGCGGAGTCGGGTAAGGAAGGGGCGGGGAAGGGGCCCGGGGCAGCGGAGTCGGGTAAGGAAGGGGCGGGGAAGGGGCCCGGGGCAGCGGAGTCGGGTAAGGAAGGGGCGGGGAAGGGGCCCGGGGCAGCGGAGTCGGGTAAGGAAGGGGCGGGGAAGGGGCCCGGGGCAGCGGAGTCGGGTAAGGAAGGGGCGGGGAAGGGGCCCGGGGGCAGCGGAGTCGGGTAAGGAAGGGGCGGGGAAGGGGCCCGGGGGGCAGCGGAGTCGGGTAAGGAAGGGGCGGGGAAGGGGCTTGGGGCAGCGGAGTCGGGTAAGGAAGGGGCGGGGAAGGGGCCCGGGGCAGCGGAGTCGGGTAAGGAAGGGGCGGGGAAGGGGCCCGGGGCAGCGGAGTCGGGTAAGGAAGGGGCGGGGAAGGGGCCCGGGGCAGCGGAGTCGGGTAAGGAAGGGGCGGGGAAGGGGGCCCAGGGGCAGCGGAGTCGGGTAAGGAAGGGGCGGGGAAGGGGCCCGGGGCAGCGGAGTCGGGTAAGGAAGGGGCGGGGAAGGGGCCCGGGGCAGCGGAGTCGGGTAAGGAAGGGGGGGGAAGGGGCCCGGGGCAGCGGAGTCGGGTAAGGAAGGGGCAGGGAAGGGGCCGGGGCACCGGAGTCGGGTAAGGAAGGGGCAGGGAAGGGGCCCGGGGCAGCGGAGTCGGGTAAGGAAGGGGCCCGGGGCAGCGGAGTCGGGTAAGGAAGGGGCAGGGAAGGGGCCCGGGGCAGCGGAGTCGGGTAAGGAAGGGGCGGGGAAGGGGCCCGGGGCAGCGGAGTCGGGTAAGGAAGGGGCGGGGAAGGGGCCCGGGGCAGCGGAGTCGGGTAAGGAAGGGGCGGGGAAGGGGCCCGGGGCAGCGGAGTCGGGTAAGGAAGGGGCAGGGAAGGGGCCGGGGCACCGGAGTCGGGTAAGGAAGGGGCAGGGAAGGGGCCCGGGGCAGCGGAGTCGGGTAAGGAAGGGGCCCGGGGCAGCGGAGTCGGGTAAGGAAGGGGCAGGGAAGGGGCCCGGGGCAGCGGAGTCGGGCAAGGAAGGGGCAGGGAAGGGGCCCGGGGCAGCAGAGTCGGGCAAGGAAGGGGCAGGGAAGGGGCCCGGGGCAGCGGAGTCGGGCAAGGAAGGGGCAGGGAAGGGGCCGGGGCACCGGAGTTGATATCTGGGATGGGTGGGGGCGGGGCTGGGAAGGACAGGGGGGTGTTTGCTCAAACCTCTGCTGGATTTCTGTAACAGAGACCGACAACGGTTCCAGGAGCCACCAAATTCAGCTGAGCAGGCAAACCGTTGTCAGTAAAGAACAGAAGACGGATTGTTTGGCGCAGGTTAGATTTTCTGAGCCAATCAGGAAGTCAGAGTGAACGCTCTCGGGGGGTGAACGCTCTCGGGGGTGAACGCTCTCGGGGGTGAACGCTCTCGGGGTGAACGCTCTCGGGGTGAACGCTCTCAGGTTGTAATCAAACAGATTTTTTGACAAATTTTCAATTTTTTTGATTGGAATTCCACATTTAACACAATCTCATGAAGCCAGTAACTTGGTATTTTTTTTTTTTTCCCAGCCAATTCCCAGCTGTAGAGTCACCCAATTACTTTTTCAGTACAATGTACATGAAGCCCCTCCCCCTCCCCCCATGGTCTTCTGGAGGAATGGGAGAGCCCAGGGCCACAGTGAATGGATTCAGGATGGAGAGCAGGAGAAATTCCGGGTACACATTCCCCAATCTCCTCTGAATGATCCCGGAATTTTTTCTCTTCTGGGTTTAGAGCTGACAAACTGACACCCGTCCAATCATGCCATTTATGATATTTGCATAACTCCTCCCCCGAGGACCGGGGCACTGCTTGCACTGAGACTGAGGGCTCCTGGAGAGGAGAACTGAGGAAGGGTGCTCAGGAAGCTATGTACAGCACCTTGCTGGCCCCTCCCAACCTCCATGATCTGCCTGCATTGCATAGAGAAGCACAGAGACCCAGTGATGATAGATATGGATAGAGATACATCTAAGCAGAATGATTGTCAGCTCTGCGGTCTCCTCTTGTCTCCTCAGGTCTTGTCGGAGAGGAAGACCTTCATGAAGGAAAACCCGCTGCCGTTCTCCGCCTTCCTCACGGACAGCTTTGGACGTCAGCACAGCTATCTGAGGATCTCATTGACCGAGAAGTGCAACCTTCGATGTGAGTGGTCGAGCCGCTGGGCGTTCGTAGCGGAGCTGTCCAAGTTCACAGCATTTAGGGTGGAACATGTTCCAGCTGCCGCCAGTTCCCCTGATTTCTCCCCCCCCCCCCCAATGTGACAGGGTGGGGATTCTTCTCTTCGCACCCCTTGCCACTTTTTGCAAAAAGCACGGCCCCACGGGGCTCCGCCCACACTGCCGCTTAATTTATTCCATTTTGTTTTGTATGAATGAACTACAACTGCCATCCGCCACCGTGGCTTGTAGTTCTGAATGACCTGTGGGGGGCGCTGATGAGCGCTCTTGTAGTTCTGAATGACCTGTGGGGGGGCGCTGATGAGCGCTCTTGTAGTTCTGAATGACCTGTGGGGGGGGGGGGGTGCCGATGAGTTCTCTTATAGTTCTGAATGACCTGTGTGGGGGGCGCTGATGAGCGCTCTTGTAGTTCCGAATGACCTGTGGGGGGGCGCCGATGAGCGCTCTTGTAGTTCTGAATGACCTGTGGGGGGGGCGCCGATGAGCGCTCTTGTAGTTCCGAATGACCTGTGGGGGGGCGCCGATGAGCGCTCTTGTAGTTCCGAATGACCTGTGGGGGGGGCGCTGATGAGCGCTCTTGTAGTTCTGAATGACCTGTGGGGGGGCGCCGATGAGCACTCTTGTAGTTCCAAATGACCTGTGGGGGGGGCGCCGATGAGCGCTCTTGTAGTTCCGAATGACCTGTGGGGGGGCGCCGATGAGCGCTCTTGTAGTTATGAATGACCTGTGGGGGGGGCGCCGATGAGCGCTCTTGTAGTTCTGAATGACCTGTGGGGGGGGCGCTGATGAGCGCTCTTGTAGTTCTGAATGACCTGTGTGGGGGGGCGCTGATGAGCACTCTTGTAGTTCTGAATGACCTGTGGGGGGGCGCTGATGAGCGCTCTTGTAGTTCTGAATGACCTGTGGGGGGGCGCTGATGAGCGCTCTTGTAGTTCTGAATGACCTGTGGGGGGGCGCTGATGAGCGCTCTTGTAGTTCTGAATGACCTGTGGGGGGGCGCCGATGAGCGCTCTTGTAGTTCTGAATGACCTGTGTGGGGGGCGCAGATGAGCGCTCTTGTAGTTCTGAATGACCTGTGGGGGGGGGGGGTGCTGATGAGCGCTCTTGTAGTTCTGAATGACCTGTGGGGGGGCGCTGATGAGCGCTCTTGTAGTTCATTCACAAGCTTTGCAGCTTTCAGATATGGAGTTCGGGGCAGAAAGTTGCAGGGCCTGAGAAGCCGGACGTTGTACCCCCTGATCCCCCTGATCCACCGATCATCCATGCAATGCTCACCAGGCAAGAAAAAATATTTAATACACACTACAAATTTCTTCCTTTTTTTTTTTTTTTTTTTTTTTTTTTTTTTCATTTTTTTTTTATTTATTTTCTTCTGGAAAGGTGAATTTATACTTTAAGACCCCTTTCACATGGGTGTTCTGTTTTTTTTTTTTTTTTTTTTTTTTTTTTGTTTTTCATCACTTCAGTCCGTTTTTTTTGTTTTTTTTTTGGAATAAAAATAGGGTTTTCTTCCATCCAAACAAACCCGGATGTTAACGGATGCCGACATCTATGTATGTAAACAGATAACCGTCCGTTTACATCCGCTAGTCCATAGAAATACATGGGTGCCCGACAGATGAAAAACGGACATACAGAACGCCCGTGTGAAAGGGGCCTAAATCTTTAAATAATAATACAAATAAATTAAAAAAAAAAAAAAAAAATATATATATATATATATATATATATATATATATATATATATATATATATTTTATTATAATTTTTTTTATTTGTATTATATTATTATTATTATTATACAGGATTTATATCCCGCCAACCGTTTGCTCAGCGCTTTACAAAATGAAGGCGGGCAATACAGCTACAATACACTTTGGAAACTGTTGGCACCATATAAATGCTGCATAATAATAATAATTTAGGGACGATAATTCCTTTTTTCAGTGGCGGTGCCGTGTCTGTCATCCTGTTGAGGGAAGATGGCGCTGGACTCTTGGGGGTCATCTTGCTGGTATTGATGTTGTGGGTGTCACTGATCTGGTTCCCTGGCACCCCGGAGGATCTCCAGTCTCCTTGGGTTGTAATATAAATAGAATTGTAATTGAAGGGCCACAACACTGCTAAGAGGTCCACATACTTCATTCCATTAAAGTCTGGGGTACAGGAAAAAATACCCAACGCGTTTCAGAGTTCCACGGTCCCCCTTCATCAGGGCTTGACTGGCAACGATGAACAACCCAGAAGTGAACTGGACCCACAATTGAGTGAATTACAAGCTCCGGGTCAGGTGCATCAGGCGCTTGGATCCCTGATGAAGGGGGTGGTGCTTGGATCCCTGATGAAGGGGGTTGGGGGAGGTGCTTGGATCCCTGATGAAGGGGGGTGGGGGAGGTGCTTGGATCCCTGATGAGGGGGGGGTGCTTGGATCCCTGATGAAGGGGGGTGGGGGAGGTGCTTGGATCCCTGATGGTGGGGGAGGTGCTTGGATCCCTGATGAAGGGGGGGAGGTGCTTGGATCCCTGATGAAGGGGGGGAGGTGCTTGGATCCCTGATGAAGGGGGGGAGGTGCTTGGATCCCTGATGAAGGGGGGAGGTGTTTGGATCCCTGATGAAGGGGGGTGGGGGAGGTGCTTGGATCCCTGATGGGGGGGGAGTGCTTGGATCCCTGATGGGGGGGGGAGTGCTTGGATCCCTGAAACGCGTTGGAGTCTTTGGATTGTATCCGTGACTTGTAATGGGAAGTTGTATTTGGACCTCTGAGCCGTGGTGTCCTCCTGGCGGTGATGTTCCGTGTCCCGGTACTCTTGTCTTGCAGGTCAGTATTGTATGCCGGAGGAAGGAGTACCGCTGACCCCGAAAAGCGACCTTCTCAGCACTCAGGAGATCCTCACTCTGGCCCGGATCTTCGTACAGGAAGGGGTGGACAAAATCCGCCTGACCGGTGGGGAGCCTCTGATCCGACCTGACGTGGTGGACATTGTAGGTGAGTCAGTGACACCAAGTCTGGGATTACACACGTCCGTAATGCATGGAGAATGACAGGGCACTGTTCCTCCCACTGACACCAACGACGGGGCACCCTTCCTCCCACTGACACCAACGACGGGGGCACCCTTCCTCCCACTGACACCAACGACGGGGCACCCTTCCTCCCACTGACACCAACGACGGGGCACCATTCCTCCCCACTGACACCAACGACGGGGCACCCTTCCTCCCACTGACACCAACGACGGGGCACCCTTCCTCCCACTGACACCAACGACGGGGCACCCTTCCTCCCACTGACACCAACGACGGGGCACCCTTCCTCCCACTGACACCAACGACGGGGCACCCTTCCTCCCACTGACACCAACGACGGGGCACCCTTCCTCCCACTGACACCAACGACGGGGCACCCTTCCTCCCACTGACACCAACGACGGGGCACCCTTCCTCCCACTGACACCAAGGACGGGGCACCCTTCCTCCCACTGACACCAAGGACGGGGCACCCTTCCTCCCACTGACACCAACGACGGGGCACCCTTCCTCCCACTGACACCAACGACGGGGCACCCTTCCTCCCACTGACACCAACGACGGGGCACCCTTCCTCCCACTGACACCAACGAGACCCAGACGATGGGGCATTCTCTACTCCCATTGGCCAATCCAGCCCTCCTAAAGCCTGAAGGACAGTAAGCGGGCCCTTTGTTTGGGGACCCCTGATGTAGCAGATGTGTGGCAATGCTATGAGTTGTTAGTGGTACCCCATACATCTGGGTATCTGCATGCATCTAACAGCACCGTGCGTTTCGGCACATTTTTGGAAAGGAGTCTGGGACCTCTCTTCTGCTCTTCTCCTGCATAGAGCCGCCCTACACACACCGCTGGATTGGGCGGAAACACATCCATGCTTGGCTACCAAGCCTCAGGCCTCATGCACACGGGCGCGTTTTTACAGCTGCTGTTTTGGGTGTCAAATCCTTTTTTTTTTTTTTTTTTTTTTTTTTTTTTTCCTGCCTCTAAGCTCCCCTGCATGTTCCCCTGTGTTCACACACACATAGGCTTTCAGCAGCGCTTTCTGGCAGGAGGGATTGGTGGCAGAAAAAACCCCTCTGCCAGTGCGCTCCGGAGCAACAGTGGCAGGAGAAACGCTGACCGCCTCTAAACTCTGCTAAACGCCGATGCCCAGCATCTAGCAGAGTGTTTGTTTTGTCTTTTTGGGGTTTTTTTCAGTTTTTTTGGTTCTTCTATTTTTTTTTTTTTTTAATTTTTTTTTTTTTCCACGGGTCGTTGAGAAGGTTGGGAAGCCTACTGCCACATTCCTAACAACAAATGAGTCGTCAGCTGTCAGTGGAGTTCCCCAATGCAATGGATTTTAAGGGGAACCCCACGCCAAAATGTTAAAAAATAAATAAACCTTTGCTGGCTTGTATGGATTTTAAGGGGAACCCCACGCCAAAATGAAAAAAATAAATAAAATCCATACAAGACAACAAAGGTTTAAGCGGAACCCCACGCCAAAATGAAAAAAATAAATAAAATCCATACAAGCCAGCAAAGGTTTATTTATTTTTTAACATTTTGGCGTGGGGTTCCCCTTAAAATCCATACAAGACAACAAAGGTTTAAGCGGAACCCCACGCCAAAATTAAAAAAAAAAACCTTTGCTGGCTTGTATGGATCTTATGGGGAACCCCACGCCAAAATGAAAAAAAAAAAAAACCTTTGCCGGGTTGTGTGGATTTTAAGGGGAACCCCACGCCAAAATGAAAAAAAAAAAAAAAACCTTTGCCGGCTTGTGTGGATTTTAAGGGGAACCCCACGCCAAAACTAAAATAAAAAAAAAAATCTTTGTTGGCTTGTATGGATTTTAAGGGAAACCCCACGCCAAAATGAAAAAAAAAAAAAAAAAAAAAACCTTTGCCAGGTTGTGTGGATTTTAAGGGGAACCCCACGCCAAAATGAAAAAAAAAAAAACCTTTGCCGGGTTGTGTGGATTTTAAGGGGAACCCCACGCCAAAATGAAAAAAAAAAAAAACCTTTGCCGGGTTGTGTGGATTTTAAGGGGAACCCCACGCCAAAATTAAAATAAAAAAGAAAATCTTTGCTGGCTTGTATGGATTTTAAGGGGAACCCCACGCCAAAATGAAAAAAAAAAAAAAAACCTTTGCTGGCTTGTATGGATCTTAAGGGGAACCCCACGCCAAAATTAAAATAAAAAAGTGGTGGGTTCCCCCAAAATCCAGACCCTTATTTGAGACCAAGCATGCAGTCTGGAAGGTCAGGAAAGGGGCGGGGCATGGAGTTTGGCTTTTAAATGCCCGTTCCCTGACATGCTGATCCTTCCATACACCTTCAGTGTCATTGCTGTGACTGTAGAGATGAGACCGGGAGGGTGTATTTCTGTTCCTGTTTTTGCATTTTTTTTGTCTTCCTGCAGCCCAGCTCCGGAAACTGGAAGGCCTGAAAAGCATCGCCATCACCACAAATGGGATCAACCTGAACCGCCAGCTGCCCCGGCTGAAGGAAGCCGGACTGGACGTGCTGAACATCAGTCTGGACACCCTGGTGCCGGCCAAGTTCGAGTTCATTGTGAGGAGGAAAGGTGGGCGCCTGTGATCTCTCCCACTACATTCCCAGTGATGTCACCGCTCTCTAGTGAATGGATAGGCTGCGCTCTCAGTGATGTCACCGCCCTCTAGGGAATGGATAGGCTGCATTCTCTGTGATGTCACCGCTCTCTAGTGAATGGATTGGCTGCGCTCTCAGTGATGTCACCGCTCTCTAGGGAATGGATAGGCTGCATTCTCAGTGATGTCACCGCTCTCTAGTGAATGGATAGGCTGCATTCTCTGTAATGTCACCGCTCTCTAGTGAATGGATAGGCTGCGCTCTCAGTGATGTCACCGCTCTCTAGTGAATGGATAGGCTGCGCTCTCAGTGATGTCATCGCTCTCTAGTGAATGGATACGCTGTGTTCTCAGTGATGTCACCGCCCTCTAGTGAATGGATAGGCTGCATTCTCAGTGATGTCACCGCTCTCTAGTGAATGGATAGGCTGCGTTCTCTGTAATGTCACCGCTCTCTAGTGAATGGATAGGCTGCTCTCTCTGTGATGTCACCGCTCTCTAGTGAATGGATAGGCTGCTCTCTCTGTGATGTCACCGCTCTCTAGTGAATGGATAGGCTGCGCTCTCAGTGATGTCACCGCTCTCTAGTGAATGGATAGGCTGCATTCTCCGTGATGTCACCGCTCTCTGGTGAATGGATAGGCTGCGCTCTCAGTACTGGTCCATGCAGACACATAGAACTTCCCTCCATTCTGCAGAGAGCCGGGTTCAGTCCATTCCTGATGTGGTCAGCCAGAATCTCGGCATGTCATTTTATGAGTTGTCTTGGTTTGATACCCGCCCCCCGCCCTCCTGATCGTCTGCGTTCTCCTCCTTGCAGGGTTCCACAAAGTCATGGAGGGGATCAACCGTGCTGTGGAGCTGGGATACAACCCTGTCAAGGTGAGAGACTCCCGGATCAAAGATCATCCGAATACCGCGCCAGGGCAGGGGAGAGATCAGGGGTCTAATGGACCCCTGATGTCTCCATAAAGAGAACCTGTCACCTGCCAATGCTGTTACATTATTGGCCTCCTTGTGACAGGATGATGGTAATACATTTTAAATAAAAAACTATGTTAAACCTAAATACTAAATGAAACTAAAATGACAAAAAAAGAGAAAAAAAAAAAAAAAGCAACCCCCTCTCCACCCCTCACCCCCCCCCCTTCCCGCGCACACAATCAAATACTCACGTAGAGCATTCATGTATGGATAAACACGTGTCATACATGTGAGGTATCGCCGCCAAGGGTAGGGTGGGAACAATAATTTCAGGGCCATCACTCATGGCGAAATGATGGAAAGACTTTTAATGCTTCACGGGTAATTTTGGGTAGCAACGCTTTCTGCCAATTCACGAGTGCGCACAGATTTAAGGCTTGACATGTTTGGTATCTATTGACTCAATGCAACCTCCATCTCTTATATTAAAAATATAAATATTTAACATTATACACAAATATTTTTAAAAAAGATATACAGTGGGGCAAAAAAGTATTTAGTCCCCACCAATTGTACAAGTTCTCCCACTTACAGAGATGAGAGAGGCCTGTAATTGGCATCATAGGGAGACCTCAACTATGAGAGACAAAATGAGAAAAACAAATCCAGACTATCTCATTGGCTGATCTGGAAAGAATTTATTTGCAAATTATGGTGGAAAATAAGTATTTGGTCACCTACAAACAAGCAAGATTTCTGGCTCTCACAGACCTGGACCTTCTTCTTTAAGAGGCTCCTCCTCCTGCACTCATTACCTGTATCAATGGCACCTGTTTGAACTTGTTATCAGTATAAAAGACACCTGTCCACAACCTCAAACAGTCACACTCCAAACTCCACTATGGTGAAGACCAAAGAGCTGTCGAAGGACTCCAGAAACAAAATTGTAGACCTGCACCAGGCTGGGAAGACTGAATCTGCAATAGGCAAGCAGCTTGGTGTGAACAAATCAACTGTGGGAGCAATAATTAGAAAATGGAAGACATACAAGGCCACTGATAATCTCCCTCCATCTGGGGCTCCACGCAAGATCTCATCCTGTGGGGTCAAAATGATCACAAGAACGGTGAGCAAAAATCTCAGGACCACACAGGGGGACCTAGTGAATGACCTGCAGAGAGCTGAGACCAACGTAACAAAGGCTACCATCAGTAACACACTATGCCGCCAGGGACTCAGATCCTGCAGTGCCAGACGTGTCCCCCTGCTTAAGCCAGTACATGTCCGGGGCCCCTCTGAGGTTTGCTAGAGAGCATTTGGATGATCCAGAAGAGGATTGGGAGAATGTCATATGGTCAGATGAAACCAAAATAGAACTGTTTGGTAGAAACACAACTCGTCGTGTTTGGAGGAGAGAGAATGCTGAGTTGCATCCAAAGAACACCATACCTACTGTGAAGCATGGGGGTGGCAACATCATGCTTTGGGCTGTTTCTCCGCAAAGGGACCAGGACGACTGATCCATGTACAGGACAGAATGAATGGGGCCATGTATTGTGAGATTTTGAGTGCAAACCTCCTTCCATCAGCAAGGGCATTGAAGATGAAACGTGGCTGGGTCTTCCAACATGACAATGATGCCAAACATACCACCCGGGCAACGAAGGAGTGGCTTCGTAAGAAGCATTTCAAGGTCCTGGAGTGGCCTAGCCAGTCTCCAGATCTCAACCCCATAGAAAACCTTTGGAGGGAGTTGAAAGTCCGTGTTGCCCAGCGACAGCCCCAAAACATCACTGCTCTAGAGGAGATCTGCATGGAGGAGGAGATCTGCATGGAGGATGGGCCAACATACCAGCAACAGTGTGTGCCAACCTTGTGAGGACTTCCAGGAAACGTCTGACCTCTGTCATTGCCAACAAAGGATATATAACAAAGTATTGACATGAACTTTTCATATTCACCAAATACTTATTTTCCACCATAATTTGCAAATAAATTCTTTCCAGATCAGCCAATGAGATTGTCTGGATTTGTTTTCTCATTTTGTCTCTCATAGTTGAGGTCTCCCTATGATGCCAATTACAGGCCTCTCTCATCTTTGTAAGTGGGAGAACTTGTACAATTGGTGGAGGACTAAATACTTTTGTGCCTCACTGTGTATATATCTTATATATATATATAATTTTTTTTTTTTTTTTCTGGAACTGACTGGTCTGTCTCTCTTTTCTCTGCACCGTCTTTCAGGTGAACTGCGTGGTGATGCGCGGCCTGAATGAAGACGAGCTGCTGGATTTTGTAGCTCTGACGGAGAAGCAGCCGCTGGAGGTGCGCTTCATAGAGTACATGCCCTTTGACGGTAAGTCACCCTGAGCTCGTTGAACTGTCTGTGACACCGTAGCCGGCTGCTGAGTCCTTTATGAATCTTACCCGACACCTATTGATGGAATATTCGTGCCGCCATCTTGGCCATGTGGGATCCCAGTCCTACGTTGGTAGCTTTCAGCGCAGATGTCTTGGTACCCCATAGTCGGGGGCGGACTGACAACTCATAGCCCCCCCCGTGTCCCCGCCCTTACTCAAGCCACACCCACACAAAAGGAAATAACTGCAACTGATCTTTTGCAACTCTCACTGCCTCAGCTGGAGTAGGAGATGTCCATTGCTGCAATGGGAGCCACAAAGGATCGGCTTCAGTTCTTTCCCCCACCTGCTGCACCGATCACCTGCTGTGCGTGTGTACTGTGTATAATATATTTGTGCATGTTACGTGCACATCAAGGAATTTACAATCCAAGGTCCCTAATTCGCATTCATACATACGTGTGGGAGGAAACCGGAGTATACCCACGCAGGCACAGGGACCTGCCTGGGAGTAAGAGGAGCAGGGACAGGGGGCAGGGACGGACACGGAGAGCCCAGCCGGGGGACCTGGAGCAAGTGGTGCGGGCAGAGGCCTGGGGGTCCAGGCTGCCATCATTCTGGTTCTGGCTTAGGCCCCCTAGGAACCCCCCCCCCCCAGTCACATGTCCCAGGAGGCTGCGGGAGTCCATTCACAGAACGGCCAGGGGGTCCAGGCTGCCTGAACTCAAGAGGCAACCTGCTAAAGAGGACCAAGATGGCGGCATGGTGGGGCACAGGCTGGTCAACGCTGGATCCACTGGGCAGGGATTACTGTTCCAGTTTGGCCTAGTTGGCCTCTTTCACACCTCCATTGTGAACGGTTTTCCCTCCCCCCCCCCCATCCAAAAGATAGATAGTTGACATCTCTGCCTTGACACAATCAGTGGTGTTTGCACCCATTGGGGTAACTTGGTTGCCCCGATCCAAATAGCAGGAGAAGTTTCCAACACTAATTAGAAGTGAGGAATCCTCGGGATGAGCTGCACCTTCAATATCACTACTGCTACTGGCTAGAATGCCTTAACCGTGCTTTGTGAAACCTTTTTGTTTTTATAAATAAAGTTCTGTCTTTTTGACAGGCAACAAGTGGAACTTTAAGAAGATGATGAGCTACCAGGAAATGTTGGACTGCATCCGTCAGAGGTGGCCGGAACTAGAAAAACTGCCCACCGAACCGTCCAGCACTTCCAAGGTACAGAACAGGAGTTGGGTGTCGTGGATGCCCAATACCCCCCCCCCACCCCCACCCCTCAGGGGTCATTTGTATGTGGACCGATGGTGGCTGGTAATCATATCAAGTGATAAAAATGGAAGCAACAAGACTTTATTCCCATTGGAGCAAATTAGAATTTCAGAGCAGGGGCATTCAGTTGAGTCACCCACCTAATATTGAGTAGATCCCCTTTTGCCACCAAACCGGCCCTGACCTATCAAGGCATGGACTCCACTAGATCTCTGAAGGTACGCTGTGGTATCTGGCACCACACGCCGTCAGTAGCAGATCCTTTAAGTCACGTAAATTGGGAGGTGGGGCCTCCATGGATCAGACTTGTTTTTCCAGCACATCCCACAGATACCCAATGAGATCTGGAGAATATGGAGGCCAAGTCGGAACCTCAAACTCCTTGTGTTCCTCAAACTATTCTTGCACCATTTTTGCAGTGTGGCAGGGCACATTATCCTGAAAAAGGTCACTGCCATCAGGGAATACCTTTTCCATGAAGGGGTGTAGTTGGTCCCCAGCAATGTTTAGGTAGGTGGTACGTGCCAAGTAACATCCACATGAATGTTAAGAGCCAAGGGTTCCCTGAAGAACATCCCCCAAAGCTGCCGGCTTGTCTTCTTCCCATACTGCATCCACATGATGGAAAAATGTGATTTATGTAAAACATTCTCACAGCTAGTCATACATATATTATAAGTACAATATATATATTTAATAAATTAGTACATAAATGTTTCATCTATAAATACAAAAAAAGAGAAAAAGTGTGTATATATATGTGTGTGTGTGTGTGTGTGTGTGTGTGTGTGTGTGTATATACAGTCAGGTCCATAAATATTGGGACATGGACACAATTCTAACAGTTTTGGCTCTATACACCACCACAATGGATTTGAAATGAAACGAACAAGATGTGCTTTAACTGCAGACTGTCAGCTTTAATTTGAGGGTATTTACATCCAAATCAGGTGAACGGTGTAGGAATTACAACAGTTTGCATATGTGCCTCCCACTTGTTTAGGGACCAAAAGTAATGGGACAGAATAATCCTAAATCAAACTTTCACTTTTTAATACTTGGTTGCAAATCCTTTGTAGTCAATGACAGCCTGAAGTGTGGAACGCATAGACATCACCAGATACATAGACCTGATACATGAGGGAGGATCTCGCCAACAAATGAATTCATTGCAGCCATCTTCTTCCATTACTAGGCCTATCGGGTGCCCGGCTTCCAGGGGCGGATCGGCTTCATCACCTCCATGTCTGAACACTTCTGTGGCTCCTGTAACCGGCTGAGGATTACGGCGGATGGAAACCTGAAGGTACGGAGAAGATATGATTGTTCTTTGTTGTATGGTCAGAACAGAAGTCCTCCCATTGCCAAGTCCCATCCATTCACTGACATTTACCTACCTACCTACCTACCTACCAGGGCTGTTCTGACATTTTCTCTCCTACATGTAAAAATCATTTTATTTTGGAAAATTATTTGGAAACCCCAAGCATTACATTTTTTTTTTTTTCAGCACAGGCCCTAGAGAATAAAACACATCATTTTTTTTTCTTCTTTTTCTTTTCTTTCTTTCCTTTTCTTTTTTTTTTCTTTTCTTTTCTTTTCTTTTCTTTTCCTCTCCTCTCCTCTCTCTTTCCTTTTCTTTTTCTCTCTCTTTCCTTTTCTTTTCTTTTTCTCTCTCTCTTTCCTTTTCTTTTCTTTTTCTCTCTCTCTTTCCTTTTCTTTTCTTTTTCTCTCTCTCTTTCCTTTTCTTTTCTTTTTCTCTCTCTCTTTCCTTTTCTTTTTCTCTCTCTTTCCTTTTCTTTTCTTTTTCTCTCTCTTTCCTTTTCTTTTCTTTTTCTCTCTCTTTCCTTTTCTTTTCTTTTTCTCTCTCTTTCCTTTTCTTTTCTTTTTCTCTCTCTTTCCTTTTCTTTTCTTTTTCTCTCTTGTTCTTTCTCTCTCTTGTTTCATATTGAAAATAAAGATGTTACTAAAGTTATAATAATTCTCATACAACTGAATACAACTTCAGAAGTGATGATCTGTATTGTAATGTATTCTTTTGTTTCTGAGCATGCATGGTCTTGGTTTCCATATATATATAATTTTTTTTTTTTTTGGATGATTACTGTACTAATTAAAGGAACATTATTCATTCTGGTATCGTACAAGAACAAAATATGTCCCTTCGGATATTGTCTCACGAACTGTCGCGTTGGTCCCTCGGAAGCCGTATGCCAATGATTAGATTGGTGGACGATCGCTCCTCGTACGGAAAATTGAATTTGATTTTTCACATGGTTTGTGAACAGTGGTTTTTTTAAATGCAAATTTTTTGGGGAAAAAATTACAATTTAATGAATTTTGGTGCACAACAAGCACAATACAATACCCAGTTGTTTGGTATCTACTTACTTGACGTAACATCATCTTTTATATTTTACCAAACATGTAAAATTGTATACATCCATAGAATGGAGCCAAACTACAGTATCTCCTCGTACGGAACATTTCATTTGATTTTTCTTATGGTGTGTACGGGTCTCTCTCCCAGGTCTGTCTGTTTGGAAACTCTGAAGTGTCTCTCAGGGACTTGCTGCGGTCGGGGTCCAGCGAGGAGGAACTCATCCAGACCATCGGAGCTGCTGTGGGCAGGAAAAAGAAACAGCACGCAGGTAGGCGTCCGGGGTCTCTGCTGGCCTTGTGTATAGGATGGGACTTCTCTACACACTTCAAATGGCCAGCTCAGCTTTTGTAAAAGGTCCCCAGCAGGGTAAACCTCTTAAGCTCCGGAAGGTTTTACCCCTTTCATGATGAGACCTTTGTTTTTTTTTTAATTTTGCTATGCAGCACTGTGCTACTTTAGCTGGCAATTGCACAGTCATGCAACACTGTATGCAAATGAAATGACATGCATGCATACTTTTTTTTTTTTTTTTAATAATCATATATACACACATTTTATTTTTATATATAATATTAGATAATTTTTAATTGTATTTTACAGCAGAGAGTTAAAGTCTCTCTCTCTCTCTCCCTCGTCCCTCTCGCCCCCTCCCCCCCCCCACCTCTTCCCCCCCCCCCCCTCTCTCTCTCTCTCTCTCTCTCTCTCTCCCTCGTCCCTCTCCCCCCCCCCCCCCCCCCCCACCTCTTCTCCCCCTCCCCCCCCCCACCTCTTCCCCCCCCCCCTCTCTCTCTCTCTCTCTCTCTCTCTCTCTCTCTCTCAATAGACAATTTAAAAAAAATTTTTTAACTTTCTGCTGTAAAACATTCAATTAAAAAAAAGAATCTAATTTCTTCATTAAATTTAGGCCGAAATGTAAAAAAAAAAAATTCCCAATAAGTGTATATCAATTGTAGATGCTATAACGTTCACGCAAACCACTGGAATTTATTTTATACTAGTAATGGCGGCGGTCAGCGACTTTGATAGTGCAGCGGACAATCTGGCACTAACTGACATTACCAGTGACAATAATACAGTGATAATACTACACAGTGACCCTGGCTGGGAAGGGGTTAACATCTAGGGTGGACAAGGGGTTAAATGTGTAATGTGTGTATTATGTGCTGATATTTACTACAGACCAATTTTTGTTTCTTTTCCCTGCTTTGTAGCGAAAAGAAACAAACCAATCCTTCTCTCTGTTCAGAGCCCTGTGTTGTTTGTCAACAAAGGGCTCTAGGCTGTGATTGGACACAGCTAACCAGCAGGTCCCAGCCATAAATCATTGTCCAGGACCTGCTGACAAACTCCCACTGTGTCAAATCGCGTGCCCAGAACCGGGCAGAGACGTAGAAGTACATTGCTGTGCCTGTAGGAGGCGCCCCATCAGTTTATGTACTGTGTCGGGTCAGCAATGGTTAAAAAGCCACTCAGGCTGCAACTCCTACTTTCTCTCCGGCACTGCTAACTGCAGTACCTCTTCTCTACCACAATTCCTCTCACTGACACCAATGATGGGGCACTATTCCTCCCACTGACACCAATGATGGGGCACTATTCCTCCCACTGACACCAATGATGGGGCACTATTCCTCCCACTGACACCAATGATGGGGCACTATTCCTCCCACTGACACCAATGATGGGGCACTATTCCTCCCACTGATACCAATGATGGGGCACTATTCCTCCCACTGACACCAATGATGGGGCGCTATTCCTCCCACTGACACCAATGATGGAGGCACTATTCCTCCCACTGACACCAATGATGGGGCACCATTCCTCCCACTGACACCAATGATGGGACACTATTCCTCCCACTGACACCAATGATGGGACACTATTCCTCCCACTGACACCAATGATGGGGCACCATTCCTCCCACTGACACCAATGATGGGGCACTATTCCTCCCACTGACACCAATGATGGGACACTATTCCTCCCACTGACACCAATGATGGGACACTATTCCTCCCACTGACACCAATGATGGGACACTATTCCTCCCACTGACACCAATGATTATTATTATTATTATTATTATTATTATACAGTATTTATAAAGCGCCGATAGTTCGCTCAGCGCTGTACATTACAAAGGGGGACAGAACATGTGACAGAACAATACCAATACAATGCAAAACATGAGGGGATCGAGGGCCCTGCTCTTTCGAGCTTACAATCTAGGAGGGAGGGGATGGTGGCACAGGAGGAGATAGCTGTGGGGGATGGAGTGGTAGGAGGAGTGGAGGAGGTCGGCAAGTTAGCAGGGGGTGGGGTAGGCTTCCCTGAAGAGATGGGTTTTCAGGGTGCGCCTAAAGGAGAGGAGAGTAGGTGATAATCTGATGGGTTGGGGCAGGGAGTTCCAGAGGATGGGTGACACCCTGGAGAAGTCCTGGAGGCGGGCATGGGAGGAGGAGACCAGGGAACTAGAGAGAAGGAGGTCTTGTGAGGAGCGGAGTGTGCGTGTTGGGCAGTACTTGGATATTAGGTCAGTGATGTAGTTCGGGGCAGTATGGTGGACGGCTTTGTACGTCAGTGTTAGGATTTTGAATTTGATCTGTTGCGCAATCGGAAGCCAGTGGAGGGATTGGCAGAGGGGGGTGGAGGACACTGAATGGAGGTCAGTGGAGGGATTGGCAGAGGGGGGTGGAGGAGATGGAGCGGTTGGAAAGGTGAATGAGTCTGGCAGCCGTGTTCAGGATGGACTGAAGAGGGGATAGCCAGCGGCGAGGCAGGCCAGTGAGGAGGGAGTTGCAGTAGTCGAGTCGTGATATGATGAGGGAGTGGATGAGCTGTTTAGTGGTTTCTGGGGTTAGGAATGATGGGACACTATTCCTCCCACTGACACCAATGATGGGGCACTATTCCTCCCACTGACACCAATGATGGGGCACTATTCCTCCCACTGCCACCAATGATGGGGCACTATTCCTCCCACTGACACCAATGATGGGGCACTATTCCTCCCACTGACACCAATGATAGGACACTATTCCTCCCACTGACACCAATGATGGGGCACTATTCCTCCCACTGACACCAATGATGGGGCACTATTCCTCCCACTGCCACCAATGATGGGGCACTATTCCTCCCACTGCCACCAATGATGGGGCACTATTCCTCCCACTGCCACCAATGATGGGGCACTATTCCTCCCACTGCCACCAATGATGGGGCACTATTCCTCCCACTGCCACCAATGATGGGGCACTATTCCTCCCACTGCCACCAATGATGGGGCACTATTCCTCCCACTGCCACCAATGATGGGGCACTATTCCTCCCACTGACACCAATGATGGGGCACTATTCCTCCCACTGACACCAATGACGGGGCACTATTCCTCCCACTGACACCAATGACGGGGCACTATTCCTCCCACTGACACCAATGACGGGGCACTATTCCTCCCACTGACACCAATGATGGGGCACTATTCCTCCCACTGCCACCAATGATGGGGTACTATTCCTCCCACTGACACCAATGATGGGGCACTATTCCTCCCACTGACACCAATGATGGGGCACTATTCCTCCCACTGACACCAATGATGAGGCACTATTCCTCCCACTGATACCAATGATGGGGCACTATTCCTCCCACTGACACCAATGATGGGGCACTATTCCTCCCACTGACACCAATGATGGGTTGGTCTATCTAGGTACTTAGAGACCTCATCCACATGTACCCAGGTACACTGAAGAACGTATGAGTAGGAATCTTCAGAGGTGAATGTCTAATTAGCCCACGTGGACCTTTGCAGGGACTGTCACTGGGAAAGCCGATAAAACATGTATATTCGTGTATATATATCCCTGAGCTGACAAAAAATGAAAAAAAAAAGGACATAAATACTAATTCCCAGGAAAAAAACGGGAAAAGGGGAACACTTTTTAGTAAATAAAATAGGAACCCCAGGGTTCCATGGAACCCTGGTTGAGAAACCCTGTAGAGGACACCATGGTTCTCTTGACCTCCCCCTGCCAACTGCAATGTTGCTGCGATTGAGCGCCACCTACAGTGGAGAATATAGACTGCAGCTGCCTACAAGCAGTCCTTTTTATTTCCCTGGTACTGGTTGAGGAATGGAAGGCGACATTTAGTTGCTAGGGGTAACCACCCCGCTTTCGTTTTTTTTTTTTTTTTTTTTGGAAGCAGCATAAAAAAAAAAAAAAAAAAAAAAGAATCCTACAATCCCCATTGTTCCAGCAATTTGTGGGGCACCCTGTGCCAGGTTCACATCTGTGGGGGTGCTGCCGCTTCGGATCTGTGCAGCCGCACCACCCGCACATTGGTTCTAACGGCACGCTGCCCGCACTGGAAATCGCAACCGTACTGGTTACCTCTGCTGCATTTTCGGTGCCGGGACATCTTCCCTGCGTGTCCTGGGGCACAGGACTCCTTTCAAATGAATGGACTCTTGTGCCCGTGCAAAACCCGGACCGCAGGAACGCGGATATGTGAACCGGGGGTAAATCTGGGTGTTGAAATAATGCAGCTCCAGGGTGGAGTTTGCGTCAGTGTTGACCACCCAGTGAGCGAGGAGGGAAGGTGATGGACGCGGGGAAGGAGGGCGACGGACGCGAGTGGAGGGAGGGCGACGGACGCGAGGGAGGGAGGGCGACGGACGCGAGGGGAGGGAGGGCGACGGACGCGAGGGGAGGGAGGGCGACGGACGCGAGGGGAGGGAGGGCGACGGACGCGAGGGGAGGGAGGGCGACGGACGCGAGGGGAGGGAGGGCGACGGACGCGAGTGGAGGGAGGGCGACGGACGCGAGGGGAGGGAGGGCGACGGACGGCGGGGAAGAAAATGACGGCAGGAGCCACAGATACACTGAAGGAGGTAAGTCGATCAGAATGTGATAAGTGCTCCCCAGTTCCAGCTCCGTCCGCTTCAAAGTAGAATTCCTGGATGAAGGGAATCTTAAAAAAATGTTACCTCCCGACACCTCCCCGACACCTCCTGACACCTCCCCGACACCTCCCGACACCTCCGCTGACTAACCTGTGTAATGACAGTGGATACACTGCACTTGCCTATTGTCAGCCGGCTCTGGTCCAGTCACATGATCCCTTGTGTCAGCCAGCAGTGGCTGCAGGGGAGAAGAGCGAGTACTCTGGCGGTGACTGGTAAAGCCTGGAGCTGTGATATCACCTGTAGGCCCCCATAGGACATTATCAGCCATTGTCGGCGCTCCCTCCTCTCCCCTTCAGCTGCCACCTTGACACAGGGGTGCTGACACCCCTGTGTCAAGGTGGAGGGGGGGCTGAAAACAGGGAGGGGGGGGGGGGGGGCATTTTTAGGAGTGGTTAGGCTTATCTTGGAGTTCTACATTAAAGCACAACATTGCCTAAAATCATCCTGTAGGTGTAGAGGGGGGTCTCCGGGGGTCTCCAATCGTGTTACATCGAGGGGCACATCGTATATTGTACACACGGCCGGAAAAATCATTTTAGAAATAAGTCCACAGAAGAAGAATAGAATAGGATGTGACAGAATGCTGACAGCGGGGATGGATGGCGTTCGTGTTTCCCGCGTTGCGTCCCGTTCGTGTTTCCCGCGTTGCGTCCCGTTCGTGTTTCCCGCGTTGCGTCCCGTTCGTGTTTCCCGCGTTGCGTCCCGTTCGTGTTTCCCGCGTCCCGGTACGATCTGCAGCGGGTGTCAATATTAAGTGAACGACACCCCAAACGCAGGATGCAAATATGTGGCGCCGAAGCCCAGCCACTGAAAGGTGCCAGCAGGTTAAATATGACATTCGACTTTGGGCAGCACAGCGGCTTGGTGATCAGCATTGCAGCGCTGTTATCCCCGTTTCGGACCCCCAGCTGCATGGAGTTTGTATGTTCTCCCTGTGCATGTGGCGGGTTCCTCCGACATTCCATAGGCATGCTGGTAGGTTAATCAGCTCCTGCCGATCGTGATCCTGGTATGTATGTGAGATGGGGATCTTAGATCCCCTTGTAAGCTCCTTGGGGGCGGGGTTTGATTGTACAATGCTGCGTGTAAAGCGCTGTATAAATACATTTGTCACACGATGGATCCCGATCCTTTTCATGTATGAACTGAAACGTGTTTGTTCACACGCAGGTATGTTCAACATATCGCAGATGAAGAACCGTCCAATGATCCTGATTGGTGGGTGACACGGCCTGTACGTATGGGTGTGGGCGGGGTCACTTTTTTGATGTGATTTTGTTGGCTTGGGGAGGGCACTTTCTTAGTTAATGCTGGGTGTTCTCTGATTGGATGAGGTGGAAATCGCGATAGATCTCCGCCTCATCCAATCAGAAAACACTTTGCGGAAATGTTACCTGAATGTAAAACAGAGGTGGGCTTTGTTCTAGAACACGGGTGTCAAACTGGCGGCCCTCCATGGGTTGAGGAACTGCAAGTCCCAGGAGGCCTTGCAAGACTCTGACGTCCACAGGCAAGACTTCCAGAGGCATGATGGGACTTGTAGTACTTCAACAGCTGGAGGGCCATAGTTTGGAGATCCGTATTTTAGAATATCAGAACCTCTTTTCCTCTTGGATAGAGTAAGGGAGAGTTTTATATCCCCTGTCAGGTGTTTGTTTTTTTATTTTTTTTTTTTCCTCTGTGTCCCATTGGGGGTCAGGAATTGAGAATACAATCCCTCTAAAGTGAGGGAATCCCTGGTTGTCACCAGGACTCGTGTCCCCACTGGAAGATTTCCCCTCTATTCTTTTTTCTGGTGACAAGAAAAAATTTGGGATTTCCTTTCACTTCCCACGCTTAGCCTACTTTCACAATCATCCATAGCAACAATGACCAAAATGTGTTTTTGCTGCATTTGGGGTTTTTTGTTTTTTTTTTATGTAGGACATGTGACTCAAAAACCACATAGAAAATGCAAAGTGGGTGCATTTTTGATGTGTTTTCATTGTATTTTTGGTGTGGTTTTCGAGTCACATATCCTATATTAAAAAAAAAAAACCTGCACCTCCATATATATTGAAATCAACGAAAAATGCGTTTTTTTTTTTTTTTTTTTCCTGTTTTTTATATAGGACATGTGACTCAAAAACCACACCAAAAATACAAAGTGGATGCGATTTTCATCAATTTCGATATGGAAGTGCATCAAAAATGCACCCACTTTGTATTTTTGGTGTGGTTTTTGAGTCACATGTCCTATATTAAAAAAAAAAAAAAAAAAAAAAAAAAAAAAAAAAAAACCTGCACCTCCATATTGAAATCGATGAAAAACGCATCCACTTTGTATTTTTGGTGTGGTTTTTGAGTCACATGTCCTATATAAAAAACAGAAAAAAAACGCATTTTTCATTGATTTCAATATATGGAGGTGCAGGTTTTTTTGTTTTGGTTTTTTTTTTTTTGTTTGTTTTTTTTTATATAGGACATGTGACTCAAAAACCACACCAAAAATACAAAGTGGGTGCATTTTTGATGCGTTTTTCATCGATTTCAATATGGAGGTGCATCAAAAATGCACCCACTTTGTATTTTTGGTGTGGTTTTTGTCACATGACCTATATGAAAAAAACGCACCTCCATATTGAAATCAAAGTGAGTGCATTTTTTTTAAGCGTTTTGCATTGATTTCAATATGGAAGTGTTTAGTTTTTTTTTGTTTTTTTCTCCAACTGCACCAAAAATGCACGTGTGTTTTTGTTTGGTTTTTTTCTTCCGCTTTTTTAAGTGGAAAGCAAACTGATCAGTGTGAGAGGGTGAACCTCCCTAATGGGGACACAGAGTAAAAAAGACCTGACAGGGGTTCTAAACTCTCCACTCCATCCACTGATCCTCCTCCTCTTCTGTCCCCCACCCAGGCTCCTGGCACCTCCCCCTCCTGCCAAGTACTGGCATAGAAAGCAGCTTGTTATGGGGGGAGGGGCATGGTTTATTGTACTTCAGAAAGATGACTTCTGGAGCTCCGCTGCTTGCTGGGGGTCAGTTCCTTCAAGAGCAGAGTCGCTGGAACTATACCTGCCTTGCCCCTCCCCTTCGGCTGCCGATTCACAGAAGCCTTTGTATTAGGTGACATCAATCACAAAATACAAAGGCTTCTGTGAAGGAGCAGCAGAGGGGAGTGGCGAGCATAGCTGCTGTGTGCAATGGTGTATTTTGGTTTTGTGCTGCCCTAGGCAAGACTAAAATCAGGCACCCCCCCCCCCCCCCACCATCTAAATTTCTTACCCCTTCCTCTTTAGAGATCCACCCCTTATTTTATTCCATTATCGGTATCATTTGAAGGAATAGTGCCCCATCATTGGTGTCGGTGGGAGGAATAGTGCTCCATCACTGGTGTCGGTGGGAGGAATAGTGCCCCATCATTGGTGTCGGTGGGAGGAATAGTGCTCCATCACTGGTGTCGGTGGGAGGAATAGTGCCCCATCACTGGTGTCAGTGGGAGGAATAGTGCCCCATCATTGAGATCAGTGGGAGGAATAGTGCCCCATCATTGGTGTCGGTGGGAGGAATAGTGCCCCATCACTGGTGTCGGTGGGAGGAATAGTGCCCCATCACTGGTGTCGGTGGGAGGAATAGTGCCCCATCGTTGGTGTCGGTGGGAGGAATAGTGCCCCATCGTTGGTGTCGGTGGGAGGAATAGTGCCCCATCGTTGGTGTCAGTGGGAGGAATAGTGCCCCATCGTTGGTCTCAGTGGGAGGAATAGTGCCCCATCGTTGGTGTCAGTGGAAGGAGTAGTGCCCCATCATTGGTGTCGGTGGGAGGAATAGTGCTCCATCTCTGGTGTCAGTGGAGGAATAGTGCCCCATCATTGGTATCGGTGGGAGGAATAGTGTCCCATCATTGGTGTCAGTGGGAGGAATAGTGCCCCATCATTGGTGTCGGTGGGAGGAATAGTGCCCCATCATTGGTGTCGGTGGGAGGAATAGTGCCCTATCATTGGTGTCAGTGGGAGGAATAGTGCCCCATCATTGGTGTCAGTGGGAGGAATAGTGTCCCATCATTGGTGTCAGTGGGAGGAATAGTGTCCCATCATTGGTGTCAGTGGGAGGAATAGTGCCCCATCATTGGTGTCAGTGGGAGGAATAGTGTCCCATCATTGGTGTCAGTGGGAGGAATAGTGCCCCATCATTGGTGTCGGTGGGAGGAATAGTGCCCCATCATTGGTGTCGGTGGGAGGAATAGTGCCCCATCACTGGTGTCGGTGGGAGGAATAGTGCCCCATCACTGGTGTCGGTGGGAGGAATAGTGCCCCATCGTTGGTGTCGGCGGGAGGAATAGTGCCCCATCGTTGGTGTCGGCGGGAGGAATAGTGCCCCATCACTGGTGTCGGCGGGAGGAATAGTGCCCCATCATTGGTATCAGTGGGAGGAATAGTGCCCCATCGTTGGTGTCGGTGGGAGGAATAGTGCCCCGTCGGTGGGAGGAATAGTGCCCCATCGTTGGTGTCGGTGGGAGGAATAGTGCCCCATCATTGGTGTCGGTGGGAGGAATAGTGCCCCATCATTGGTGTCGGTGGGAGGAATAGTGCCCCATCATTGGTGTCGGTGGGAGGAATAGTGCCCCATCATTGGTGTCGGTGGGAGGAATAGTGCCCCATCATTGGTGTCGGTGGGAGGAATAGTGCCCCATCGTTGGTGTCGGTGGGAGGAATAGTGCCCCATCGTTGGTGTCGGCGGGAGGATTAGTGCCCCATCTTTGATGGCGCCGCCCCCCCCCCCCCCCCCCCGAAAAGTGCCGCCCCAGGCAAGCGCCTTGTTTGTCTCACAGCAAATACGCCCCTGGCTGTGTGTGTCTCTCCTCTCATAGCCAGACTAGAGGTAAGTCCCGGAGGTGACATGCACCTACTTAGACTTAACCCATAGTGTGCCTGCACTCCTTTTTTTTTTTTTTTTTTTTTTAATGCTGCTGAATTCCTGGAATTCAGCTTTAAAGGTGAATAAACTTCATATATCCTGGCCCCCCTCTCCGGACCCCGATGCACATAGCGGCTGTGATCCCCCCATGCGGCTGGTGTATCGTTCCATACACCCCAATACACATCCATGGAGTGAACATCCATTAAAATGCTTGTAATAGTAAGTGCTCATTGGTCGGCGCAGCCATGTGACCGAGAAGTGCCTCTATGGCTGCTTCCTCTGGTATGGTGTCCTAGAAGAAAGAAGTGCTTCTTGTTGGTCATGTGATAGCACTGACCAATCAGAGATTACCAAGATTTTCGGACCAGGGAATCATGACCACCATGTGCAGCAGGGCTGGGAGGGCGCGTGGCGGAAGCAGCCAAGATATTTAAAGGTAATTCACTTTTTAGATTTTTGGTGAAAAGGTAAATCTTTCCTTTAATTCTACATCTTCTCAGTCTGCAAATATGGAAGCCAAGGTGACCAGTCAACTAGCATTTTCAGGAGATGTTGGGCAACCGACTCATTACTTTGACAGGCAGTAAGTGAAAGTGAACCTACCTCCCAGGCTAGTTTATGGATGTTCATTCTGACAGTCTCTGTTCAGGTGAAACATCCACAATGCAAGTTGGTAGGCAGATTCCATGTGATCTTTGCCGAGGGTTTAGTTCACACGAGGGTGCTCCAGGGTAGCCATGTTTATTTCATGTTGATGAAGCTGACCCGCCCTCTATTGGTCCCCCTGAGGTGTGGTTGATGTAGCTGACCCGCCCTCTATTGGTCCACCTGGGATGTGATTGATGTAGCTGACCCGCCCTCTATTGGTCCCTCTGGGATGTGATTGATGATGCTGACCCGCCCTCTATTGTTCCCCCTGGGGGGTGATTGATGAAGCTGACCCGCCCTCTATTGGTCCCCCTGGTGGGTGATTGATGAAGCTGACCCGCCCTCTATTGGTCCCCCTGGGATGTGATTGATGAAGCTGACCCGCCCTCTATTGGTCCCCCTGGGATGTGATTGATGAAGCTGACCCGCCTTCTATTGGTCCCCCTGGGATGTGATTGATGAAGCTGACCCGTCCTGTATTGGTCCCCCTGGGATGTGATTGATGAAGCTGACCCGCCCTCTATTGGTCCCCCTGGGATGTGATTGATGAAGCTGACCCGTCCTGTATTGGTCCCCCTGGGATGTGATTGATGAAGCTGACCCGTCCTGTATTGGTCCCCCTGGGATGTGATTGATGAAGCTGACCCGCCCTCTATTGGTCCCCCTGGGATTTGATTGATAAAGCTGACCCGCCCTCTATTGGTCCCCCTGGGATGTGATTGATGAAGCTGACCCGCCCTCCATTGGTCCCCCTGGGATGTGATTGATGAAGCTGACCCGCCCTCTATTGGTTTCCCTGGGATGTGATTGATGAAGCTGACCCGCCCTCTATTGGTCCCCCTGGGATGTGATTGATGAAGCTGACCCGCCCTCTATTGGCACCCTGGGATGTGATTGATGAAGCTGACCCGCCCTCTATTGGTCCCCCTGGGATGTGATTGATGAAGCTGACCCGCCCTCTATTGGTCCCCCTGAGGTGTGATTGATGAAGCTGACCCGCCCTCTATTGGTCCCCCTGGGATTTGATTATAGCTGATTTTTTTTCCCCTGTTTTGCAGGTAACGGGACGCTTCGGCAGAAAACTATGCAGGGGTGTTTAAATGAGCGAATTCAAAGACTCTGTTTGAAATCTGAACCCAATCCACACCCTATACTGTTGCAAAGTAATGGACGCTTCTACCGACCACTACCTGATTTTGTAGAGACTAGACCGAAAATCATGGTGCTTCCGCTGCGGGCTTTCTGCAGTGACCCGAAAAACTTGAATCCCGACCCAATGTGCCTTAATAAACAAAAGTCTTCTTCTACTGACCGCCAATCCGATACGCACAATCCCTGTTCACAGGGAACCTCTGAACACTTGACACATGTTGACCGACGGGGGAAGGTTTCCATGGTGGACGTCGGGGCCAAATTAGACACGAGGCGCACAGCAGTTGCTACGGCTGTTGTCCGCTTGGGGCCGAAGCTCTTCCACATGGTCCAGACCAACCAACTCAAGAAGGGTGACGTCCTCACGGTGGCACACATTGCCGGCATCCAGGGTGCCAAAGTGACCAGCCAACTCATCCCCCTTTGCCACAATATCCCCTTAAGTCAGGTCAACGTTTCTCTAAACCTGGACGATTCTCGGTTTACTGTGACGATCAGTGCCGAATGTAGCACTTATGGTAAAACGGGTGTAGAGATGGAAGCGCTGACCGCGGCCAGCGTGGCGGCTTTAACCATCTATGACATGTGCAAAGCTGTCACGCATGACATAGTCATCGAAGAAGTGAAGCTGGAGAGCAAAACCGGAGGACAGAGAGGAGACTTCCACCGTCAGCCAAAACCATAGCATTAAAGGAGGTGTCCCTTCAAGAACAATGTTCACAATGGATGGCTGTAGCATACAGCTTCTTGCATCTCTTGAAGGCTTCATGGCTGAGATATCTTCACCAGAGTTTGCTGCTCCACCCGGCCCCAAGGCAGCCGATAAAGGGGTCTCTCCCCCTTCCCATGCATTCAATGTAACATTGATGTACCAGGCAAGAGCTACAGCCTTCATTACTGCTTTTGGGAGGTGGTGGAGTTGGGAACTCTGGGGGGAAATATTTTGCAACTGGAGCAGTTTGAGAAGCTGGTTTTCAGAATTTTTAGCTGTCTGAGGGTTTCTACAGGGCCAGTGCCTGCTATGCTAACTAGAAATTGGTTTTAATAATGGGTTCTATTACATTTTGTCATTGGTCCTATGTATACACTTAATGCCAACTGGATAACACTGCTTTATAAATATGTGACTTGTTATTCTTTGAGGGTCGCTCCATCCGGGACGGATATTTCATGATTTGGTGAAATGGCTTTGTGGACACCTGACTATTGCACCTAGATGTGCTTGTTGGAGATCTCATTCCAAAACCATGGCCATTAAATGGAGTTTCCCTCTTTGTAGCTATAACATCCCCCATTATACTGGGAAGGCTTTCCGTAAGATTTTGGAGGGTGTCTAGAAATGTGTGCGGTCAGGTACTGGTTGAGCAGATCTGAACAGCACTGGGATGAATTAAAACACTGCTGGTGAACCAGAAGGGTTGAGGTAAGGGCTTTGTGTAGGACACTTGAGTTCCTTCAAAATCAAACCAATACAGTTGGTGCCACTCTGCGGGGCGGGCTTTCCATAAGAATTTGGTGGGAATTTGTGAGGTCAGGTTCTGATGTTGGATGAGAAGGCTTGGCTCACCATTAGCATTCCAGATTATTCCAAAGGTGTGCAGTAAGGTTGAGGTCAGGGCTCTGTGAAGGACCCTTAAGTCTCTCCACACCAAACTGCTCAAACCATGTTTTTACGGAGTTGGCTTTGTACACGGGCACAGTGCTAGTGCAACAGAAATGGGTCTTCACCAAACTGTAGACAATTCTGCTCTTCCAACCTTGTGGTAACAATGTCTTAGTAGGATGTAGTATTAACAGGACTCTTTACTGGAGACACCTAAACTGCACCAGTTGGAGGAGTGTCCACATCCTTTGGGCTATACAGTGTATCAGTTTGGAGTGGGATGCCTCTCTTCCCATTATTGATAGTTTTTTTGTTTTTGTTTTTTTGAACCTCTTACTGACAGGACTGATGTTAGATGAGAGGACCTGGCTCACCATTGGCGTTCCAACATCCCAAAGGTGTTCAGGAGGGTTTTTTGTGAAGGACACTTGTGTACAAAGCCAGCTCCATAAAGACATGGTTTGACCAGGGTGTTGTGGAGGAACTCAAAGGCACTGTCATGGTGGAACAGAAAAGGTTCTTCATCAAACTGTTAGCACAAGGTTGGAAGAGCACAATTGTCTACAATGTCTTTGTATGATGTAGTATTAACAGTCTTCGCTGGCGACACCTAAACTTCACCATTTGGAGTGGCCACATCTTTTGAGCTATACAGTGTATCAGTTTGGAGTTGGATGCCTCTATCCCCATTGATTGAATTCTTTAATCCTAAACCTCAACTGACAGGACTGATGTTGGATGAGAGGACCGGGCGCACCATTGGAATTGAACATCCCAAAGGTGTTCAGGAGGGCTGAGATCAGGACTTTGTGAAGGACACTTGTGTACAAAGGTGGCTCCATAAAGTGCTGATCTCAACCCTCCTGAACACCTTTGGGATGTTCGAATTCCAATGGTGAGTCCGGTCCTCTCATCCAACATCAGTCCTGTCAGTTGAGGTTTATAATTAAAGAACTCAATAATGGGGCTAGGGGCATCCAACTCCAAACTGATACATGGTATAGCTCAAAAGATGCGGACACTCCAAATGGTGACGTTTAGGTGTCGCCAGTGCAGAGTCCTGATCCTACTCCATCATACTAAAGACATTGTAGACAATTGTGCTCTTCGAACCTTGTGGTAACAGTTTGATGAAGAACCTTTTCTGTTCCACCATGACAGTGCCTTTGAGTTCCTCCACAACCAACTGGTCAAACTGTGAAGGACACTTGTGTCCAAAGCCAGCTCCATAAAGACACAGTTTGACCAGTTGGTTGTGGAGGAACTCAAAGGCCCAGTCATGGTGGAACAGAAAAGGTTCTTCATCAAACTGTTACCACAAGGTTGGAAGAGCACAATTGTCTACAATGTCTTTGTATGACGTAGTATTAGCAGGACCCTTCACTGGAGACACCTGAACTCTATAATATAGAGAAGTGCTCACATACCTCTGGCCATATGATGCGTCTCTTGTGGTCTCTCTTAAATGATATTTCTGTGCCAAGTTCCCAGGACTGCATGCCTGCTGTGCCCATTATGTGGGGTTCCCATGATCCCTATGCTGAGTGGCCAGGTCTGCAAAACTGCTTTGGCAATAGTAGTCCCCACCATTGTTGTGCTAGGTTTCCAGGTCTATTACACTTAATGTTCCCCTTATGAGGGGTTTCCCACCATCCCTGTGCTGAGTTCCCGGGTCTGTACCCCCGCTGTGCCCATTATGAGGGGTTCCCACCATCCCCGTGCTGAGTTCCCGGGTCTGTCCACCCGCTGTGCCCATCACGAGGGGTTCCCACCATCCCCGTGCTGAGTTCCCGGGTCTGTACCCCCGCTGTGCCCATTATGAGGGGTTCTCAACATCCCCGTGCTGAGTTCCCGGGTCTGTACCCCGCTGTGCCCATTATGAGGAGTTCCCACCATCCCCGTGCTGAGTTCCCGGGTCTGTACCCCCGCTGTGCCCATTATGAGGGGTTCTCAACATCCCCGTGCTGAGTTCCCGGGTCTGTACCCCCGCTGTGCCCATTATGAGGAGTTCCCACCATCCCCGTGCTGAGTTCCCGGGTCTGTACCCCCGCTGTGCCCATTATGAGGAGTTCCCACCATCCCCGTGCAGAGTTCCCGGGTCTGTACCCCCGCTGTGCCCATTATGAAGGGTTCCCACCATCCCCGTGCTGAGTTCCCGGGTCTGTACCCCTGATGTGCCCATTATGAGGGGTTCCCACCATCCCCGTGCTGAGTTCCCGGGTCTGTACACCCACTGTGCCCATTATGAGAGTTCCCACCATCCCTGTGCTGAGTTCCCGGGTCTGTACCCCCGCTGTGCCCATTATGAGGGGTTCCCACCATCCCCGTGCTGAGTTCCTGGATCTGCACACCTGCTGTGTAAATTCTGAGGAGTGCCCACCATCCCTGCAGAATTTCTTTACTTTGATTTATTCTATGGAAGATGCAGCCGGATGATTGGGAACACCTTGAGGTGGACACGACAGGAACTTTTGGAGAAAGATCTCGCAACTGAAGATCTAATTATATTATTAACCAGACGTTGACTCCGCCCACCGCCATCCGACTGTTACTGAGACCTCACTTCCGGTGGAATGTAGCCTTCAAAGAGGCCTCCATGTTTGAGAGACTTTAGGTCAGGAGTTCATAGAGGACGACACATGTTGGGTTTTAGCCCTTTTTATAATTATGTTTTTGTGTTCTGAGGCTTCTCACCTCTGAAGAGGACCTGTTGTATCTCTGAATGATAAAATGTCATTTTCTCACTTTTCTGCCTGTCAGTTAACAGCGCCTCTGCCCTTCGTGTAAGAAAAAAAAAACAAAAACAAACCCCTTGTCTGTAAGGAGAGGTGTCGATTGCATTACCTGTCCCAGCACCTGCAGCGCTGATCTTGGCTGTTTTGAACAGTTGGGCGCCATGCAGGTTGGGCGTTTAGCTTCAGGCGGAGGGCATGGGTGTCACATCCAGCGCTGGTGCCGGCTGCCTGGGACGGAGAGGCCGATGGGTGCTGCAGCTGGATGGGACGCACCCGGCACTACGTCATTTACAATCCCGGGAACCCTTGGAAAAGGCTTCTTGTGTTCCGAGTATTCGGCCGTGGGACGCCGAAATGTTGGTAGGTGCACCGTCCAGCGGCTGTCAAACATGGTGGCAGTAGAACTGGAAGTACCACCTGTGCCCTACCCAGAGGCGTCCCTAGCGTTAGTGTCATCCGGTGTGATAACACTTGGTGACACCCCCTCCGAGGATCCCCGCAGGATGGATCGGATCGGCGGATTGAGAATAATGGATCGGAGTCCGATCCATTATGCTTCCCAATCCACAGATCCGATCCATCCTGCGAGGATCGTCGGCTTTCTTTACAACTTACCTTTCCTTGGAGCGGGTCCGGTGTCACCCCGTATAGGTTGCATGCCGACGATCCTGGGGGGGGTGACACCGGTGTAGCGGCAAGACGTGTCTCCCATGAAGATATATCCCCCTTGAAGCAACTGCGCATGTCCCGGTTTCAGGCACGATCAATCGATGATAGCAGTTCTATCATCGATTGATCGCGCCTGAAACCAAGACATGCGCAGTTGCTTCAAGGGGGATATATCTTCATGGGGAAACACCGGTGTCACCCCGCAGGATCGTCGGCATGCATCCTATACGGGGTGACACCAGACCCGCTCCAAGAAAAGGTAAGTTGTAAAGAAAGCAGACGATCCCCGCAGGATGGATCAGATCCATCCAGCGGGGATCCGTCGGCTTGCTTTACAACTTACCTTTTCTTGGAGCGGGTCTGGTGTCACCCCGTGCGGTCGGTGTACCTGGTGCGGACCGCACCTCCCTGGGGACACTACTGGTCCTACCCCCCCCAATGTAATGGCAGAGCCTCAGCCCGGGTTCACACTGATACGGTGCAAATTCCGCATCACCATCGCACCCCATTCATGCGAACCGCTGCGTGTGTGTTAACAACACCCCGAAAGCGGTCCACAAAACGCGGTCACATAGGTGTGAATACCCGTGAGATCCGATTCTAGTGCGTGTTTTTTGGTGCGATTAGAGCCATACACAATGTACGACTCCGATCGCATGCGATTGGCACAGGAATGCG